ACAAAAATTTACAATTTGTATTCATAATGGTTCAAACAAAATAAAAGGCGAAGTCCAGTTTTCACTTAGCAGAACTAAACGAAGTCTGTTCTTCCACTTAACCTGAAAAAATCTTTGTGAGCGAGCAAACAGAGAGACAGGTAAAAAAATTGAAAAATAATGAAAACAGTATCATGATTAGGTGCAAGGAGAAACAGTGAGAAAAATAATAGTTATTGATTATACAAGGGAAAAAAGTAGTACCTAGCTTTTAGCTCCAGGTTGTGATGTCTCCCGACGCGTAGCGGAGGGAGACAAAAAAGCCGTGAGCTAAAATCTAATATTTTTCCCATGTATAATACACTATTTTTTTCTGTGACAGAAGGAAGGACGAATCGATATTGATAAGATATTACATTATTTTGAAATCTGAAAAATTATCGACGTGACATTTTAAGTTTTTAACAGTAGGGACACCTACGTTGTACGCATCTTTATCATTCTTCTGAAGCAATCAAATATCTGATGTCACTTCTGTCAGTCTATTTCTGTGATTTGATTTCGAAAAATTGCGAATTTAGTGGTTGTTTAGTAATATACGTATATGTAAACCGCGAAGTGGAATGGAAGATAAAAGGACTTGCAGTTCTTCCTCGGAGACGGTATTATTGACTCATTTTTCGGAACTATAGCATATCAAGAGCCATCAACAGTGTATAAATATGTGATATATATCCAGGAAAAAAGTACCCACTTTTTACCCACGGGAAAAAAGTAATTTATGCAAAGTGACATTTTATAACCTGCCAACAGTAACAACAGAGATGAAATGCCAAACTTTTTTCCCGTCACAGAAATAAGAAATTTATGAAGGTATTGCACGTCCGATCAATTCTACTATCTGTTCGATAATTATTGATGGTAATTCAACAAAAATATAGTAGATACTCAACGAGCTCGTGTCGAAAATGGTGGACAAATCTGAAACATGACTAATAGGCTTTTTTTTTTTTTGAAAATGTGGATAGTTAAAACACTCCACATACATAATTTTAGCGCAATATCTCAAATAGGGCGTTTGTAATTTGTAAAATTTGTAAAATTCTGTATATCGTTACTTCAATCGTAACTTGTGCGGGGTTAACAAGAGCGGAACCTACAGCTTATATTGAAATTTGACAGATAGACAAACTCTGTGTATGTAACAAATTTGAAAATATTGGCCTTACACTCTTAAAAATGTCTATATTGTCTGGGCAACACATGGAACCTGGTTTGATATACTCATCATATTCATTGAATATTATCGATTTAATGGACAGCAAAGTCGTATGTTCAAAATATTCACCCTTGTGAGTCGCCTCTTCCAGATACAAACAAATATCAGGGGTCATATTCAATAAAAATTAATCATAAGGAAGGAATTTCAAGATAGATAGCATGCTTACAATTCTCCCGATGTTCTCTCTCTCGTCACATACCATACGATATTCATCGAGAACATTACAAGTATTCCGTTTCGTACCCTTCAAGCGATAAAACACAAAAAAAAGTATCAAACCTCATTCCTTGATTCCGATTTTGTGTCGTGTGATTTGAGACCTGCAGAACATCTCTTTCCAAAGACTCGTTCATCCAACGAACTGCGGTGCTCTGGAACTCATTGCCAAGGGAGGTGTTCCCCGAGGCATATAACCTCCAGAAATTTAGGAAGAACACCAATTCCTACATTATTCTCCTTGGTTCTCACGATGTTCTCTGAACATTACAGGATATCCCTTTTCGTGGGAATCAGAACATAAAAAAAACACAATTATTGGTTTTTGTACGTTAAATTTCTTTTTACACCCAACAGAATGAAGGGGAACAAAAATTTTTTGATCAAATCTGGCCACATCTTCAATTCCCAAGAAAACTATTCAAAAATTCGTTTTTCGTTTTCATTTTGAGCATTATGTTACTTATTAGATCCACGTAATATTGAGCCGGCGAATAGTCACTTGTATTTCAGAAAGTATCAATTGTATTTCAGATTAGCCAATTCAGTCTCAGATAGCGTCAATTGTATTTCAATTCACTATTCTGAAATACAATTGATGCTTTCTGAAATACAAGTGACTATTCTAAAATACAATTAACGCTTTCTGAAATACTCTAAAGGTGTAGTTTGTCCATTTAACCGTCTTTGTAACTCCAATAATAACCAAGTTAGCAATAGTGCCGACTTCAGTTTGAAAACCCGTATACTAATGTCCAATTTTCATCACCACGTATATCGAAGACTGGAACCTTTGGCACGATAATACACTACACTGCTTTACCACTAACCAAACCGATTTCTTAGTGGATAAAAAGAACTCTAGAAGAATCCCAATCCCGTTCAATCCCAAGTATACGAAGGGACTTGATAAGGTTTTCAAAGACTTAGGTTTTGAAAGCGTTTATCAGTCTGGGTCAAAATTTGGCAATTTATTAGGCAATTCGAAAAATGAAGTAGACACACTTGAAAAGTCGGGATTATACGAAATAAGTTGTAATGATTGTGATAAAACATATATAGGCCAAACCAGGCGACCCATAAAAACAAGGTTTAAAGAACACATAGCCCATTTGAAATATGGCAGGTTAGATAAATCTTGTGGCCGAACATATGTTCCATCACAATCATAACACACATACTGACCTCAAATTAGTTGAGCAAGTTGATAATAATAAAAAATTAGACGCATATGAAAGCTTAGAGATATTTAAGAATAGCAATAAAGTAATGAATAAGGATAATGGACCCATTCCATATAGCCCTCTATATTGTTTAGTAATATAAAAATTAAGATGAACATGCGGACTCATCCATGACAACCATTAACTTGACGGTTAGTATTTTTCACGGTTGGGTGAACATATACCTAGTATATAAGCAGCACACTAGAATAGGTAGATATAGTTTTAAGCTTCTCCTGAAGATGCTAACATAGTTAGCGAAACACGTGTCGAAGCGTTAAAAAAATCGGTTTGGTTAGTGGTAAAACAGTTTCATCACCACGGTTAGAAATTCGTATATCCCGGAATAACCGCATACTCAGCTTGAATTCGACAATAATAACTATATTCTGAAAAATACTAATGATCCAGTAACATTTTTAGGGATAAATTTCGATGAGTGTTTAGATTGGAAATCTCAATGTTATCAGTTGGTTTCAGAATTGTATTCTCTGGCATATCTTTTCATGGATTTGCGTTTTGTGTTTGATGAAAATCAGTTGCTGAGTTTATATCATGCTCAGGTGGGATCTAGACTGAGGTATGGTGTCTGCCTTTGGGGTCATTCCACAATGGCCAGAATAGTATATTACATAACTAGTGTGGAAAGTGACATATTTCGCGCGAGTGGACGTTTAGCACGAGCCGCAGAGCGGCGAGTGCGGAAAAGAAACGAGCGCAGGAAATGCACTTTCCAACGAGTTTTAAACACTATTTTTCCTACGACCACAAATATTTATATTATATGTCATGAGTGTTTATAAGACCAGAGTAGGGATCATGTTTCTAATCATATTCGATCACATGAAGGTGATATCATTATCATTATTATTTAATTTTACTTCAATATTTAAATGACATTAGTTTAACGTTAACTTAACATTAACTTAACATTAACTTAATATGAACTTAACATTAACTCAACGTTAACTTAACATCAACTTAACATAAATTCAAAGCCGGGATTGGCGCAGTGGAAGAGCGTCCGTCTCACGACGAATTAAATATTGTAAAGTTTCGGAGCATCGGCTGGGGATAGTCTGCACGATTCGCTGTTGCGTTCCAATTAACAGTGCTGCTCCTAAAGTGGCGCATGGATTTAGTAACAAAGCCTACACAGAACACGCAGAAAGATATGATGATGTGGTTGTGAGCATCAGAGAAGAAGTAGGACGGTGTATGTAGGTGGGAGTGGAAAAACTACCAGCTGAGCGTGAGAGCGGGCCAGCTGCTTAAGTAGACCTCGGTCTCGGGGGTTAACGAGGATAGTTAGCAGGCCTGCCACTGCGCATATGGTAGTGAGTACATTACTAGCCTACAAAACACAGCTGAAAAACTCTGAAAAAGAGAGCTGATGGGCGGTGCCTGAAAAGGATGTTAGCCAGCTCTCTTGAGCGAACCACATCAGTCATTGAAAACACTTGGGGTTGGCAAAAAGGTCCCATTGGGGACTAGTTGCTGACGTGGAAACGTCCCCCACCAGTACCAGTAACATAAATTCAACAGTTTCTTAACACTAACTTGAAATTAACTTAACATTAACTCAACATCAACTCAACATTAACTTAAAATTAATCTAACATTGAATTAACATCAACTTAACATTAACTCAATAATTATTCAACATTAAATCAACATTATCTCAGAATTAACTTGACATTACCTTAAAATCAAATTAACATCAACAACGAGTCACTTTCTCAATAACAAATCAATGCGTTTTGTGCTGTTTTCATAGGTGGTCGTAGGAAAATGTATTTATCGCACAAAAACGTATTGTTAGGTGTTTTGGCAGAGTATCGAGAAGAAACACATGCAAGGATTTGTTCCTTCACTTTCATATTTTGACATTGCCTTGTATTCTTATGTTCGAAACATCTGTACATGTATTCGAAAACAAACAAAATTTTGTAGTAAATAGCGCTATTCATCAAATTGATATAAGATGCAAACATCTTTTTAATGTACCATATGCTAAATTTGAAATGACGTCTGTTGCTCCAAACTATATTGAGCCCAAAATTTACAATCATTCACCTGACATAATAAAAAATAGTGATTCTATATCTTTATTCAAACGTGGGCTTAGAACTTTTTTAGTAGATAATTGTTTTTACAGTGTAGGAGAATTTTTCTCATTATAAATCTTTGATTCTGACAATTTGACTATTCCTATATAGTATTTGTATTATCAAAAGGAAAATAAATGATTTATTAGTATTATTATTATTATTATCTATTTCGCTCTCTCTCTCTTAAAGGCCAAGGCCACCTACGGCACGGGCTGCTTCCTCCTCTACAACACCGGCCCGCTCAAGGTGCACAGCTCGCACGGCCTGCTCACCACCGTCGCCTACCAGCTGGGCCCCGACCGGCCGCCCATCTACGCCCTCGAGGGCTCCGTCGCCATAGCCGGGGCGGCGCTCAACTGGCTCAGGGACAACCTGCGGGTGCTGCCCAGCTTCGGGCATGCGCAGGAGATCGCGGAGAAGGCGAGCGAGGTGGAGGCGGGGGAGGTGTACTTCGTGCCGGCGTTCAGCGGGCTGTACGCTCCCTATTGGCAGCAGGAGGCGAGAGGGTAAGGAATAATAAATGACCTGTTTCAGTAATAGCTCCAAACTGACCTTGAAAGTTTCTTCAAATATTGAGAATACTGAGTCTTGATAAGTGTCACAAAATCCTTTTTACCAGAAGCAAATTGCCACCTCATTTTGACCTCACACTGAATGGACAATCAATAAATAACGTTAACTCAGTCAAAGACTTGGGGGTTATTCTTGTCGCCAAATTCAGAACCTACTCAAAGATGCTGTATCTCAAGAAGGTATCTCCTTTAATAGAATTCCTGCATCTGCTCCAAATTTTGGAGGGTTGTCGGAAGCGGGGGTGAAGTCGGTGAAGTCCCATCGTAGTAGAGTGGTGGGGAAACAGGTGTTGACATATGAAGAACTCTTGACCGTATTAACCCAAGTCGAAGCTATTTTGAATTCACGACCACTTACCCCGTTCAGTAATGATCCCCACGATATGAGTGCGCTTACCCCAGGTCATTTCCTGACCCTGGAACCGCTGACTGCTATACCTGAACCGGATCTTCGTGAGATTCCTCTTAACCGATTATCTCGTTGGCAATCACTGATTCGTCTGCAACAGGATTTTTGGAACAGATGGTCAAAGGAATATCTACATACCCTCCATCAAAAGAGCAAATGGTTCAATAACTCTTATGAAATCAAAAAGGATTCTTTGGTACTGATTAAATCGGATTCCCTTCCACCTATGAAATGGCATATGGGAAGGATTATTGACACATATCCTGATGCGGACGGACAAATTCGAGTTGCATCTGTGCGGACGACATCGAGTGAACTTCGGCGACCTGTGTCTAAGCTGTGTCCACTCCCCATCGACTATACGTAAAATACTCTGTATTTTAGGTGGGTGGTATGTTGCGTCCATACGCTATTTTGTGTTCGTTTCAATGTTATTCATTAGTTTATAGTTTACAATAATTAGTAATTAAATTCTATTAAATATTTATACCAAAAAACCAATCACTTGGATCACCCTCTAGTTCATTTCGCGAAGTAATGCCTTCTAGAATCTAAACCTCAGGCGCGACACCTGTCGCGGTAAAACCACTAACTCACTTCACTAAAACCAATTGACTCAACGAATGAACCGTGTGCGTGATCATCGAATTATTGAAGAAAAACTGATAGTTTTCCCAAAATCCAGTGAAAACACCAAGTGCACCGGCCGGTGAGATCCAGAGTTACGCAACTTCATGTGTGAGGGCAGCGACCAAAAGTTAAGGTAAGATTTTGGAAGGCTCGTTGGTTCTCTTTTCCCTTTTTTTATTTATCCGAATAATTATCAACTGTCCATTGCGAATCTCTCCACAAGGAGTCGTTAATTTCAAACTAAAACAAATTACATAATGGCGCTCAAAAAGCATAACGAAACTTGGGTTTTATTTTAAGAGTTATCAAATCCTTTAATAGCTCTGAAACAATTATAACACTATATAAGGGTAAGATAAATAGAATCGAAAAAGTGGAGCATAAACTAATAAATGTTTCAAATTTTCGATTCAACAAAAGAAGACATTTTTCTCTTATGAATGTAATGTTACATTTTACAAGCTTGAAATCTTTGACTTGAGAAGGCAATTCTTTGATATCTGCTTTGTCTACAAAACTGTCAATGACATTATTGATTCTCCATACTGCACAAGTTTTTTGATTTGTACCCGATATCTTGTGCGACATCGGCTACTATTTGTACCTGGTAGGATAACTACCAATTTCATGTCAATTTCTCTACTTTATAGGTGCATGAAGTTTTATAATGGTTTAGATTTTTTTTTATCGCTTGGAGCGCACGATGTATTCAGGCAATTATTAAATGTTTCGCCATTTCGTAGTAGGTGAACAAATTGACTCTACATATTCTAGGGTTGTGAAGTATTTGTCAGGAGCTTCAAAGGGATGTATAACAAGACCCCCCTTTCCATTTCGTTTTTCCAGATGGCACCCAGTCGCCATATTGAAATTTTCATCTGTCAATTTCATTCCAAAATATGGTATTCAAGCATCAATTTCATTGCCCCAAGTTTAAATTTTTTCAGTCGACCCGTTCGCAACACCTCGTATAAGAATCCACTAGTTTGATTGTTTATTTAATGTAATGCGATGTAATGTAATTATTTTTCAGAGTGATTGTTGGTATTTCGGACGATACGGAGTCATGTCACATTGTAAAAGCTACATTAGAGGCAGTTTGCTTCCAAACGAGAGATATTCTAGAAGCGATGATTAGCGATTATGGTGCACCGTTATTGAATTTACAAGTGAGTGTGTTATTAAAATATGACAAATTTCACGATGATTATTTTTTCTAATTTTTACATGCAATTTGACAATTTCCAAAACTAACGGAAGTTTTGAAACGACTTACTTTACGTAACCACTTGCATAAAGTACAATGTTTCATAACTGGTGATGGAATGTTCATGTCAACACCATTTTTTTGTCAAGGTGGTTAAAATCCTGTATGGGCATCATATGGGTCAAATCGTTACCACCGATACAACAAGGCCAGCAGACTCTGACGTAAACAGCTCGTGACGTCACCAAGAGAGGCCAGTGTTTTATTTTATCCCTTGTCGACTAACGCGTCAGTTCGTGTTAATTCATCGGTGATTCACGTATGTTTTTGAAACGGTCCCGAATTCTTTTGTTGTTTATTCATCAAAATAATTGGCGGAAAAATTACTGTTTTGTGAAATATTTTGTGTTGAGATCGGCGAAATAACAATGCCTTTCAAGTGTTGTGTTTCCTTTTGTCGGGGGAATTATGTGGGTGGTTCAAAAGTTCATGCTTTTAGTTCCCCGTTGGACGAGGAGCTATCGAAAATGTGGGTATATGAGATGCAATTCACCGCGAGGATTTTACTCCATCTAAGTTCAGTAGTAAACAGAGCTTAATTTATAATGATGAATTAATAATAGAAAACAATTACTCTCTCATAAAAAGTATAAGTAGAGGAAAAATAGAAAAGCTTTGATTGTGCAGTTAGTTTTGTATTCGTATATTATAGTCAACAAAATCATCTCTGAATTCGAGGAAATTTTTAATTCTCATTCTCAAATTTCTTTCTGAAAACGGTCATTTGCCTCGTGGCAATGAATGCAGAATTCATTCCAATGATCAAATTGCAACTATCATATTAACATGAACTACAAACACTCTACTTAAAAAGGTAAAACTGCATTCATCATGATATTTATCATGAAGATATTTGACTAAAAATGTCCAAATTTCACCTTCTTTTTCACCTGTCTTCTGGATGGCATTTAGAACAAATTTCCCTTCATTTTTCATCATATTGGACAATTTATATATAATTATCAACTATAAATATGATTTTCTTGAGATTAATCCATATTTAGTGAAAAGAAGGAAGAATATCATTCAAAATAATGGCGTGTGTAATGTCATTCGAAAGCAATCTATTGACATTTGACATCTCGTATTTTGATTGACTATTGATTAAATGGTCATCTGGAATGCTTGTTCACTAAATATGAAAAACTCGCAATAAAAATCATATTTCCTGTTGAATTTTCTATATAAAAATGTGCCATCGAAGTACATCATGAGTATATAAAGTGTCCAATGACAAAATAAGAGCAAGTAGCTTCAAATGCCCCCAACACAAGGGGAGAAAGAAGACGAAATTTCGAACTTTTTCTTGAAATATCTCAATAAATAGTGGTTTGTTCACATTTTCATTATAAAATTCGGTTTATCAGACAAAAATACGTGAGTACCGAAAAAAATTTTCAAAAAAAAATATCGCATGATAAATGCAGTTTTACCCTTAAAAATTACGGTTTCAAGTGTAACGATCCACTTGGGTGAAAAATCCAACAACAGAAAATTGAAAACACTCACTGGTTATTTTTTCAGGTAATAGGAATTCTCCAAGATAAATATGGGTAATTGTAACAAACGGCATGTCAATCAAAATAAAATACTTCTTCCACAATTTTCTTTCGATCAATCTCACGATGAGTTTATGTTCTGCGGGCCCTGTATAAGTAGGTGTGAAGTTTACCTTCATCACAATTTTTGCCAATATATTTAATTCGAATGGGTTGCTGTAGGTGGATATTTGTGTTTTATCCTGGTTTTTGCTTTAAAACTTCGTTTTTCCATAATAAAATCGAATGGGGTGCGAAGAAGGGCTAAGTTGACGACTGGCATCCTTTTTTAACCGGAAGCTCTTCAAAAAACAGCAAAATCGGCTCAATGATGATCTAAAACTAAAATCGAAATACGCGGTCGCCTTATAGCGCTATAAGCGCTTGTCGTTTCGAGTCGCTGGTTAGGCCCCACTAAGTGACGTCACCCACGGAGCATGCAGGCCTTGTTGTATCGGTGGTAAATCCCCCATATGATACTGTGGTAGTCCCCTAATTCTGGCCAGGGTATACCCACTAAACACTCCACCCCGTTTGTGTAATGTTAAACCATAACTTTGTTTTATCTCTTGGAGCGCACGAAAGGAAATTCCTATTATGTTCGTGGAACATGGTGCGTACCTAGGGAGGATAGGAGGAGGCTTTTTAAGCCAGTTCAACACTATTTTTTATATCAAGCTAAGCATATTTTTACTTTAGAACTATATTTTTTGACGTTTGTTGAAAAAATGTTGTTTGCAACTCGAGCGCGAAATACTTTGGTCATCTCGACGGGGGGGGGGGGTAGCCCCAGGTGATTCCAGGCACCACTGGTTAAAAGCTTGAGGTCCCCACTCTTGTGATGGTAGCGGTACGTGTAAAAAGCCGCGAACGGTCACCCTTCAAACGGTACTGGAGGAATCCGGTCGACATGGGTAACTGGGCTTGCCAAGCGAAAACTGGAACTTTGGTGTACCTTGTGCCTTAGTTCGTCAGGGAGGGGGCAGCCCCAAGCTATCCTACCGCCAGTCATCGTAGGCAAAGCCGGGTCCTCTCCTGTAAACAAGGTAGAGGAACGTGTAAAAGTCCTCGAACAATCACTCATTCAACGGGACGAGAGGATTCTTGTCAACATGAGTAGCAATCAGATCAAAGCCTCTTGCGTCGGCGACCCATCAAACGTAACAAGAGGACTCTTGTTGACATGGGTACCTGGGGTGATGAGGATAGCCCCATCAGGTCGTACATACGGCCTGATGCCTCACCAATTGGGTTGGACTCCAGGGGGCAGCGGTTTTCAAAAAACACCACCGGACTACGGTAGAGGAGGTGAAGAAGAATCCCACTATGGGTCAAGTGGGAGGATATCTTGCCTGCTTCAGCGGGTGAGCAGCGTTTCTGATCGGGCACTGCAGAGCCAGTAGTCTGTCTTATCAGACGGCCTCACCATTGTTATAATAAAAAAGTAGCAGTAGAACATGCCGTTACATAACGGAGATGGCTCTAGCGCGCTGATTTGGCGTAGCGAAGGAAGACAAAAAACCGTGAGCTAAGATCTAATATTTTTCCCGTGTATAATACACTATTTCTTTCTGTGATAGAAGAAAGGACGAATCAATATTGAGAAGGTATTACATTATTTTGAAATCTGAAAATTATCGACGTGAAATTTTAAGTTCTTAACAGTAGGGACACCTGCGTTGTAGGCATCTTTATCATTTTTTTGATGTAATCAAATATCTGATGTCACTTCTGTCAGACTGTCAGTCTAATTCTGTGATTCGATTTCAAAAAATTGCGGATTTGTTGGTTATTTAGTAATATGTAACCTCGAAGTCGAATGGAAGATAAAAGGACTTGCAGTTCTTTCTTGGAGACGGTATTATTGACTCATTTTTCGGAACTATAGCACAACAAAAGCCATCAACAGTGTATATACAGTATGGTGGAAATGTATGGAATAAATTCATTATCTCTAACGCATATGAATTTGAAAAAAAATCCTATGGCAGTTCGATTTTTATTTTCAAATCGACACCTCTTGATATACATACGGAGTTTGTAACGTCATCCGCGTAGTTGTGGTGACGTCATCGATTATTTTTTTAAATGGAAACATCCCCTTTTTACTTTGTTTTTTCGGAAGGTATATTTATTGTCTATCGAACCATATACTGATATTAGCAAAATAAAGTGATACAGGGTGAGAAAAAATATTAATTATTTCAAATTTACAACGGCAACCGTTACAATAAATGTTCGAATTGGTTACCTTCTGCAATGATACAATGTGATAGATATACATTATTGTTTCTGATGTATACAGGTCGAATTTTTCATTTATTGTAATTGTTTTCGTTGTAATTATAAAATAATTAATAATTTTGTCTCATCCTGTATTACTTTATTTTGCTAATATCAGTATATGGTTGGATAGACAATGAAAAAAATAAATAAAAAGGGGATGTTTCCATTTAAAAAAATAATCGAAGATGTCACCACAACTACGCGGATGACGTTACAAACTCCGTATGTATATCAAGAGGAGTCAATTTGAAAATAATAATCGACCTGTCTCAGGATTTGTTTTCAAATTCATATGCGTTAGAGATAATGAATTCATTCCATACATTTTCACCATACTGTATATGTGATAAATATCACTCACTTTTTTCCCACGGAAAAAAAGTAATTTATGAAAAGATACATTTTATAACCTGCCAACAGAGATGAAATGCCAAACTTTTTCCCGTCACAGAAAAAAATCAATAACTTCGCATTATTCTCTTAGGTCGACGGTGGCATGACTGCCAACCAGCTGCTGATGCAGATGCAGTCCGACCTGGCGGGCACGACCATCGTCCGCCCCTCGATGGCGGAGAGCACCGCCCTGGGGGCGGCTATGGCAGCGGGGGCGGCCGTCGGCCATTGGAACATCGACGGGCCGCCCCTGAACATCCCGTCCACGCGGTGGACGCCGCAAGGCACGGAGGACGAGCGTGACGTCAAGTACTCCAGATGGAAGATGGCCGTGGAGAAGGCTATGGGGTGGGAGATGTAGGTCCAGGGGCAGAGGGGGGGGGGGTTCTGGTTGAGATGTTTGGAAGAAGTTGGTGTTCTTACTCAAGGCTGGTTGCCATGGTTTCATTGGTCAAAAAGTGATGACTGTAATCCCTTACAGAACCGAGATAAAAAATGAATGCAAAAAGCTCAAAGTCATTTCCACACAATGTTCATAAAATGAACAACAATGGTAGATTTCGAGATAGAAACAATTACTTTCCCGGCTAATGCCACGCAGAACATTGAATTACATCCTCCCGAAATCTATGCATCGACTCGTATAAACGAATACTGATACAAGTGATTATTTCCTGAATGCCTATTGATTTTGATTTAGCCAGGCTACGCTAGACAACCACAGGCCGGTTTCGAGCTCTTTGACTCTCATCAGTGCAGTGTAGTCTCCAGCCAGCAGTCCTAAGACCGCCGGCTTAGCGCAGCCTAGTCAAACAAAAATCAAGTCGGCATTATATTCCTCCAGAGGCGTCTTTCATCGACAATATGAAAGCAACGCCACCTGAGTGGAACAGAAGGAAAGAATCACTCCAAAACTGAAATTCCCGACTGGCGTAATTTCAACTACGAAATAGCCGATAGATGAGAGTCAAAGAGTTCGAAACGGTCTGTCGTTGTCTAGCGTAGCCTGGCTAAATCGAAATCAATAGGCATTCAGGAAAGCATCACTTGTATCAGTATTCGTTTATACGAGTCGATGCATAGATTTCGGGAGGATGTAATTCAATGTTCTGCGTGGCATTATCCAGGAAAGAACGAGGGGTAAATCTCCTTGGAAGTCTGGTGTACACTCCGTTGGAAGTCTTTGAAATTCTTTGGAATTCTTTGGAAGTCTTTGGATGTCTTTGGAAGTCTTTGGATGTCTTTGGAAGTCTTTGGGAGTCTTTGAAAGTCTTTGGGAGTCTTTGAAAGTCTTTGGGAGTCTTTGGAAGTTTTTGGAGGTCTTTGGTCATTGGAAGTCTGGTGTACACGTTTTTCCTGGAGATTTACCCCTCGGGAAAGAAGTTGTTTTTCTCCCAAAATATACCATTGTTGTTCATTTTATGAACATTGTGTGGAAATGACTTTGAGCTTGTTGCATTAATTTAACATTTCATTCCACTTTGAGCATTGTGGCTATTTCGTAGTCGAGATAAAAAAATTTGAATCTACAGTTCATATTTAATTTACACCGATAAAATCAGGCGAACAGGAAATGTAAATTATTTTAAAAAATAAGATTGTTTTCGTTGGTGTTTCAGGGGGTTCACAATTGTGAGTCTTGGGAGTGAACATATAAAAGCACAAGAAGATGAATACATCCCATCAAAGCATTCATTCCGAGAAATTCTTTTATTTTTTAGGGGGTGAAGTTGTTTTCTTTTGCATTTTTCTGCAAGAAATATTGAGATGTGTAACTTGCAGCTAATTGAAAAAAATCAACGTTCAAATATTCAGCAAAATATTTGTTTGGAGTTTTTACACTGGATGGAGTAATTCTTCCTTTGGCAGGAAAATCTCTGCTTTTGGAATTTTTACGTGTCCACTGCAACTTCTGAAAATATGAAAGATGTAGATATCATCTTCAGAATCTGAAGAATTGTTGATTTCATCTGTTCTCTCAGTTGGTGGCTCCTCAGATAAATCGAACTCATGTTCTTCCGCTTCAGACCCAAAATCCGACCCCAGTTTGTCTATGAGTTGAAATGATTCCTCCTGATTATCTCTAAGGAGGTCCAGATCAACTACATCATTACTTCGTCCTGCAATTAAATTTTTATTCAACTACAGGAATTGAAATCGAAACACGTTGTTGACTCCCGTGGCTCACAATTGTGATATACGCTACAAAATCGTCTTTGAAAGCAAAAATTGCAATTTACACAAACGGTACACTAATTTGTTGTTTATTGCCGTAGTTTGAATATAAACAAATAATTAATTACTTACCGACGCGGGTTATTGTGGGAAAAAACGTGCACTTTCGAGGTCGCAACTAAAATGCGATTCCTGGAAAACAACCAGTTTCCGCGCGGATATACAATAAATGCGTCGTACGGTCACAGATTACGGTTTCCAACCTAGTAAAATCATATTTTGACCCTTATAACTCGAGAAAATTAGGAAGTCACAATTGTGTCGTTCGGGAGCGTCAGGGTCATAAGGTTCTTGTTCATAGAAAATCCGTAAAAGGCGCTGATATCGTCATAGCTTTAATAACCATCGGACCAAATAACAACAATCATGACAAAAAATATAGAAATGGTGTAAGCATGTTTATTTTTGATAGTGTTTAATGAAACCAGCAAAAGCGCATCAGTGCAAACACCAGCTGTACCATATTAATTATAAACCTCTGAGTTCTGGTCGACGGGAACCGCCATTGAGCTAGCAGAACCACTTTGGATTTTTCAATTCGCTCAGGCCGAAGGTCATGTTCCGATATTGCTGATATTACTAGCTAGGGATGGCTGATACCTGATTTTTCTTGGAACACGTCCGTACTGTTACTGTGATAGACGTACCTGTTCCAAATTACTCATTGTTCCAGAGCTCGCTACAATTAACTCCGCTGCGTACAGGGTGGGCAAAATTGGGCGTTTTCACCGTCTATCTCAATAACTAGAGGAGTTATCGAAAAACCGATATTCATGTTCCGGGTTCGATTTTGGAGAAACCTCGAATGGCACAATCAAAATTTCGATATCTTCATTCGTTTCAGAGATACAGGGGGAAATTGAAAATTTGCCGATTTCGATTTTATTTTCTGACTACTTTACGGTGGGAGGTATCAAAAAATTTCGAACGTATATTTATACAATATGATGCGTGGAATCCATTGGCATCATCAGAAATTTTATACAGGGTGACGTTGAAAAGATACGGCAGCCAATTATGTTTTTTCTAATGGAACACCCCGTATATTTTGGCACAGTTGAATAGTCCCAGGCGTTCTCATTACAGATATATATATATATAACCCGACCTTTTCCTTCCACAATTTCAGATATATTCGCAAAAATATATTCAGTGTGTCACATTTCTTATGATTACACCCCCGTATCTTCTGTAAAAATAATTGAGGTAGGATTCAAAAATTCGCAACTTTCAGAAAGATACAAATGATACACTCATGGAGTCATGGACCAAGTGGGATCATCTCCAATGATAACACTGCTATCAACAAGCAGAATCGAGGTTGAAAATGACACTGTATATATTCACCAAATGTGGAAAATAAATATTGTGGGGAATGTAATTTCCAGATTAATGGATATTTGGTGAGAAATAAAATGGGAAATTATTCGATTTGATATCATTGTTATCAAGACATTTGAGATACAGAAATAAGACCAATAATTCACTCAATTAGGAAATCAGTAGGTTGCGTTGAAAAATATAGCCTTATAGAAGATGTCCAAATTCCAGATACAGAACAATTTTTTTTATGGAACACCCCGTATATTTTGGCAGAGCTGGAAAGTTCCCGTTTCAAATTCAAATATATATCTTATTTATTATCTCTTTGAACGCAAAAATATTAAGGCATACTAGAAATAATGGGTGAAGTAACATATTCAGGCATTCTGCCACAAAATATTATGATTGTTAATGTTTCCATCAATTATTCTCACAGAAGATACGGGGGTGTAACCATAAGAAATGTGACACACTGAATATATTTTTGCGAATATATCTGGAATTGTGGAAGGAAAAGGTAGGGTTATATATATATTTGTAATGAGAACGCCTAGGACTATTCAACTGTGCCAAAATATACGGGGTGTTCCATTAGAAAAAACATAATTGGCTGCCGTATTTTCTCAACGTCACCCTGTATAAAATTTCTGATGATGCCAATGGATTCCACGCATCATACTGTATAAATATACGCTTGAAATTTTTTGATACCTCTCACCGTAAACTAGTCAGAAAATAAAATCGAAATCGGAAAATTTTCAATTCCCCCCTGTATCTCTAAAACGAATGAAGATATCGAAATTTTGATTGTACCATTCGAGGTTTCTCCAAAATCGAACCCGGAACATGTATATCGGTTTTTCGATAACTCCTCTAGTTATTGAGATAGACGGTGAAAACGCCCAATTTTGCCCACCCTGTACATGCGTATTCATTTTCCGTACTCGTGTCTTCACATATTTCAATTTCACTATTGATTACTCATGTATTTGTGGCAAGAAATTGAACGAATCAATCGACATAATGACATATCACTGTTGAAACAATTTAATTTGCGCAAATGTGTCGCTTGGGTAGAAGAAGTAGGAATTGTGTACCAAATTCCAAAAGAATATACTGGGTGGTTCGTAAGTTATGTCCTCACAGTTGAGCAAAATTGATAAAACACCCTATATCTCGGATACAATAAAACTCGTGAGACCCTACAAATATGGTATATTCAAGAACACCTCGATGAGCTCTACACACCGTTGACATTTTCCGTTTCCAAATGAGACACCCAGTATTTTGGCCGTGTCTAGAATTGTTTTCAGAATTCCCTCACGCGAAATGCGTCATAAAAGTAGTGACATTGAAGTTTCGCGTGGATCTTTCCCTCTTGATTAATATTCCACGCTAATTTGGCGTGGAACAATCCCTTATGATAAATCCACGGTAATTTCGCGAGAAGTATCCCCTTATTATTGATGTTCCACCTACGAGAAATGGATGTTTTCATTACATTTTCTATTGAGTCATTGAACGTGAAGACAGTCATCCATAAATTGAACACAATATAACGTTGAAAAAATGATTCATTGATTACAAATGATTATCATCATGTGCTGTTTGGAAGTATGGAACAAATGTCACACTGACAGCTAATGACCATAGTTGATTCTAAGACATTTACTGCCACGTTCAATGATTCATTAGAAAATGTAATCCATTTCTTGTCGGCGTAAAATCTCAGGAAACAAATTACAAAATATATGATGATATTTGAAAAAAAGTTGACAGTCGCTGTAGTTAGGATTGAATTTG